GGGGGAGAGGCTTCGAGGCAGATCAGCTGAGTGGCGACAGGTGGGCTCCCTCCACTTCACGCTCAAGTGCACCAAGTGCTTGCTCCTACTGGGTCCTGTCTTGGGGTGGCGGGAGAGGTGAACTCGAGCGAGGGGTGTTCATTGACACCGTAGGCCCATGACCTTTTTTAAGCCACTTTTCACGGATCCAGAGAAGGCTTCTGCAGAGGAGTTGGAAGGAAAGTGCAGCCCCTGGCCTGGGGGGCGGGAGGGGAGGTGGCAGGTTGAAGGGCGAAGTCAGAGGTTAGGTCTGTGCCTTGGAGGGATGAGAGTGAGGAGGGGCTTTACACTGGGCTACTAGAGCATGAAGCCCGTGCCCCCACCCCGCCCCTGCCAGTTGCAGCTGACGTCCCTAAACCCACATCTGTCTCCCACCCTCACCGCCTTGCACTTCACAAAGCCCGTTCTCCATGCTTCCGGGGACCCCCTGGCCCGGTCTGCAAGCTGCGCCTTGTTCCCAGGCGAGCACCCGGGAACCCCGAGGGTGTTGGCTGCTCCCTTTGTTCTGGGTTGGGTTCTGCTGGGTGCAGGGCTACACACGGTTTCTTCTCTACACACAGCCTGACTGCCTCCTCCCATGAGCTCCTGCATGTAGGGACAGAGGCCATCACCCGCAGAGGACCCCAGGAGCCACACAGACCACACGTGGGGCCTTCAGCCATGGCAGAGGGGGGCGCGGCTTCTTGGGGACGGAGGACCCTCTAGGGAGGATGCCCGCGGAAGACCTCTTTGCTCAAGTTCTTGGCGGCAGAGCAAGGGAGCAGGGGTGAGACAGGAAGGACTGTGCCCTGGGGTGGGGGTGGTGGACAACCTTGATCAGTGTCCACAGCTGTGAAGAGGCTGCCGCGGAGACCAGGAGTGTGGCCGAAGACGTGGTCGGGCGGCGAGGGACTCCGCCTGCCGCCTTGGGGAACACAGAGCCCCCCGCTTGGCTGAGCTGAGGCGCTCTGCAGGAGTTTGCAGGGGGACCCAGCCCCACACGTTATCCTCAGATTTCAGGTCCCTGCTCCATCCCTGGGTTCCCTGCCCCGACAGTGCCCCACGTGTGGAGGCCTCTGCTCTAGTATTCTCGCTGGTTTTGTGGTCACTGTTGCCTTCACTGCTGTGCCGACTCCCATGGCGCTCCCCACAGAACTGGAAGTGAGGGGTCTGCCGGGCAGGAGCTGCAGACACTGCGGCCTGTGCCTGCAGGTGGCCGCCGCCACCCCACCACTCCCGGGGTGTCACTGCCTCACCGCCAGTCTCAGACCATTCGGGAGGCCGATGCGGTCTGCGCCACCTGCCGCCTTCAGTTGGCCAGAGCCAAGAAGATCCATTTCTAACCAGCTCAATTCCAGATTAGTGCTTCTAGGGCCTTCGGGTTCTTCTAGAGCCTTTGTTGTACAGAAAGGAGAACTCGTGTCTGTCAGAGTGGTTCAGCCAATAGAGAAGATGTGTTGCTGTGTTTTGTAGCTTCCAAGGATGTTGAAAGTGGCCGAGCATTGAAGGCTGTTGCATTTGGATGTCAGCGATGCTCAGGGCTGGAATGTAAAGGTGATTAGTGTTTGGTCCCAACTTCTGTGACCAGCTGCAAGAAAGAAAGGCTGAGCAAGCAGAGTTTATTGCTCCTGGACAGCAGCTGAGATGGAGCCCCTAGGGTGGGGTCCCCGGCTACTGCCAGCCCTATAGGGGGGTTTCTTATGTAGATTCTAAACTCAAATTCCAAAAGGGTGACTCATCGTTATGTCCCTTGATATAAGGCCCAGTTTTTATCACCTTCAGCTAGTCCCATCCCGCATGCAAGGCCCCGTTAATTAGATGCAAGGCCCTGTTAATTAGATGCAAGGCCCCATTAATTGGATGCAAGGCCCAGTTTATTACCGCCTTATCACCCCTGGATGCAAGGCCTGATTTATTACTGCCCTTATCCAGTCCCTCAGTAAATCTCCGCATTTGGTCACTCCCAACAATTAGAGCAAGTTTAAGTTGCATTAATTTTGCCACCACAACAAAAATGAGACTTAAAACAAGAAACACCTGGGAGGTCACGTGGCTCACATGCAGCCACACAGGTGCTGTTGGACCAGGAAGTCACGTTCCTGCCTCCCTGCTCAGCACCTTTCCCAGTGACCACAAACATTTCTTTCTTTTCGAGTGTTTTGTCAGATGTATTGTCTTTATTTCTTTGGGGAGCCTATATCTCAGTTTTCCCCACTCTTAAATCCTGACAGTATAAAGCCATAGAGTCCTCTGTGAACACAGATTTTAGATCCATTTTGCAATATGTCGCCAGTGATCAACTTTCCACCTGTTTTTTTCCTTCAACATTTTTTTAAGACTTATTTATTTATGCAGACAGAACTGGGGTACAGGACAGAAGTGTAGGGGTGGTGAGAGGATACACCAGACAGAGTGGGGAGCAGAACAGGCCGACTGACGAAGTCCACTGCTGAAGGGAGCAGCGGGTGAGATAAGAGAGGTCTGCTGCGCCCTGGGGGTCAGCTTCCTGGCCGGGGATCGAACTCGCAGTAAAGAGGCGGCCGTGGCCAGCTTCACAGGGCTGTGCTTTAACCTGTGGTGCCACCAGGGAGGGCCCAGTTCTTCAACATTTTGAACTGGTGCTCTGCTAAGCGCTGGGAATAGAAAGCGTATGATTCGGAAATCATTAAGGGGGAAATGTGCCTAGATTTAGCTGGGCTGTAACACGCAGCTGCCATCAGCTGTTGTCCTGCTGCTGCAAGTTTCTGTATGTCGAGACCAAGAGAAGGCCTCTGCCCCTAGCCATAGGAGTAGTTGGGAATGATCAGCTAAACCCTTCCCCTTTGAAACTTAACAGGTGTTACTAAAACTGCAGAGGAGTGTATCCTTCTACGTGTGTGTTATCTGAAGTCTCTGGTTCACACACATTTCTTGTTCATTGGTGGAAACGGATAGAAGGAAGTAGTTGTTCCTTGGTCTTTGAAATCCCTACATCGAAAATGAGATGTGAGAATCAGCCAGTATTCTGTCGGAATTTGGGTTTCCGGTCACTCTCCTTTGGTTAACTTGAGCCTCCCTTCCCTTTTGGCTCTCCGTGGGGATCGCCTGGAAGGCCAAATCCTGCAATGGGAAGAGGACGAGAAAGCTGTGGAGGTTGAGTCACAAGCCCTAACTTAGGACTGAGACACAATCATGGCTTTCCTCAGCACATTCTTGCTCTCCATTCATTAGCTCATCTGCCTCCTCAGGGCATGGGGTAGAAGCTTTAACCTGTGCTTCTGAGATGAAGGATCCAGCTGATGTGAGCGATTTGGGCTTTGTGGGTGCTCTCTATGAGGTCCTGACCCCTGACTCCCACCCGCCCTCCTCCCATATCACCTTCCTGCCAAGCCTTCCATCAGTGTGACGCAGAGGGATTAGCTGCACCACCAGGTCTGAGAATGACTGGACCCCTCCCAGTGGGAGTGTTCTGCCAGGAGGGAGGGGTACAGGAGGAGGGTTTCAGTTTCAAAGGTCGAAAGGGCAGGGGTTGCTAACTTTCTACTCAAAGACCAGCAGGACAGGGGATTCCCAGGAGGCATCTGGGCTAGAGAGAGAGAACACTTAGCCTGGAGTTTGGGGCTCAGTCTCTTCTTGATTACTGAACTTGGAACTCCTGATTCTCAGTTTGGCTCACTAGTAATTGATAATTCTAAGGAGTCAACTCTCCTCCAAAAGTATTTAGTGAATATTTGTTTTTATACCCAATGATGATATCCACGCCGCCATGCAAAACTGGGTTCTAGGTTCCGGGGATTGATTTCACCTGTTTACCTCCCAGCACACCCAGCAGAGTCCTGCACTTTTATCAGCTGGAAGAGTGGTTCTTAAATGGCCTGGAGAAGACTGGGGATGATGCGGTGCATTGGAGGACCTTGGGCTTGGGCTGCTGTTCACCCACACACACACACCCCTTCATGTATACAGACATACTCAGACCCCCAGGTACACGCAGGAGAAATCAGAATCTGCCATGTGTTGGCTCAGTTGGAGGAGACAAGTCATCTGATGATGCAAGTTTCACCTCAAGGAGCAGACCCCGGAAGTGTGATGGACAGGGGAGGAGGCGACTTGAACAGGAAATCTCAGAAAGAATTGGGTTTCTTTTGAGAATGCCCACCTTAAAAAGACAAGGTGCTGAAACTTCACTCCCGAGAGAGCATTCTCGACTTTTCCTTCCTAGAGAGACAGACTGGTAGAGTGGAAGGAGCAATAATGTTGACTTGGGAAGATGTGGACTTAAGAGTCTTTTATTTGACCCTCTCTGGTGGCGTAATGGGTTAGGACGCAGCACTACAAGCTAGCAGCAGTCAGTCAGCGTGAGTTTAATCCCCAGCCCCAGAGGTGACCCGCATGGCACAGCAGACCTCACCCGCTGCTCCCCTCAGCAGTGTACTTCATCAATCTGCCTACTCTGCTCCCCACTCTGTCACTGGTGAATCCTCTCACCGTCCCTGCACCTCTGGCCTGTACCCAAGGGCTGTATGAATAAATAAACAAATCTTTTTTTTTTTTTAATTCCTTTATTTTTCAGCTGAAAGACTGGGCAGGTTATAATGTCAAGCCTCGATGTTTGGATCTGTACAACAGGATAGTGAACTCCTCCATGTCTAACAAAAGTGCTGTTGCTGAGTTCAAGTCCTGTGAACCTCTCAAGACTCAGATGTGACCTTGAGAAAAATGACTTACTCTCTTGCTCTTTTCACTAAGAAGGCCAATATGATGTGATTTGACTTGTTTATTGGCTGAAGGTGTGAGTCCCTCACTGAGTCACAAGCTCCATGCAGAGGACTGTTCCTTCCTAAGTCCGTGACCCTGGAGTCCGTGGGGCCCAGGAGCTGCCCAGGCGGTACCCTTTGGTTGGCTGAGTGAAAGGGTGTGTGAGCGGATGAGTGAGGACTCACAGCAGGAGTTGAGCCTTAGGGAGAGTCACGCGGCTTCATGTTTTCCTACTTTTCTTGCAGGACTCGGGTCAAGCTGGAAAGCCTGGAAGACGCCTACATTCTGCGGGGAGATGATGACTCCCTCTCCGACAAGCATGGCTGCCCAGCGTACGTGAGCCCCGAGATCTTGAACACCAGTGGCAGCTACTCGGGCAAAGCCGCTGACGTGTGGAGCTTAGGCGTGATGCTCTACACCATGCTGGTAGGGCGCTACCCTTTCCATGACATTGAGCCCAGTTCCCTCTTCAGCAAGATCCGGCGCGGCCAGTTCAACATTCCCGAGACTCTGTCGCCCAAGGCCAAGTGCCTCATTCGTAGCATCCTGCGGCGGGAGCCCTCAGAGCGGCTGACCTCCCAGGAAATTCTGGACCACCCGTGGTTTTCTACAGATTTTAGTGTCTCAACTTCAGGATATGGTGCTAAGGAGGTGTCGGATCAGCTGGTGCCGGATGTCAACATGGAAGAGAACTTGGACCCTTTTTTTAACTGAGCTCATGCCCCACAGAGACTGAGCAGGTACCAGGAGCGAGAGAGCGCGCGGTGGGAAGTTCTTCCAGGGAACACACATCACCTGGCTTGGTGGCAAGAAAGACACTCACACTCACAGGTTTCTTTTTCAAAGAAGGAAGACCTTCAAGAAGCTGACCAAACATGTAGCATGGTGGCAAGAGGGAGTTTGGGGGGTGGGCTCCGGGTGGGGTCGGCCACGCGCATGGCACCCCCAGCATGTAGCCCCCCCAGACTGGCCGATCAGTTGGGCACTTCCACTTTCTCCCTTTCCCCACTTTTCATTTTGTTCAAAAATAGTCACAGATCCCGACAGAATCGAAACTCTGCCTCCAACTCATATCTCGGCATCGCACTGTTAGTATTTAACTCCTTGTCACAATTCAGGGAAGGTACAATTAATTGGCCAAGGGTTTTCTTTTCTTTTTCTTTTTGAACAAGCCAACCACCTATCTGATCACTAATGGGATTCACTTAAAAAACAATTCGGTGCACACAGACTGACATCAAACCTGGGTGCTAAATCAAAAAGAAAAGAAAAGTCCAGTTTGTGTCTCTTAATCACTCTCTTCAACTCATTTCTTCTCAATAAACAATTTAACAGCCTGGTCAGGAAAGACATGTTCGTGCTTGGCTCCCTGAAGGGGGAAAAATAATCTGTTCTTTTAAAAGAGCTCTTCTGTCTCGTGTCCATTGGGTCACGGCAGGAAGCTACTAGAAGTCAAACTTCCAGATACATTACTGCTATCGCCGTTTCAAGAAGGAGAAAAAGGCAAAAGCAAAATTCGACGCCTTCTGGATCTTTTCGCTGGCGTGAGGAGGGCCACGGGGCAGTTGCGCCGTGCTGGGGGGACATGAGGGTGTGGGCTGGCCCGAAGCTCTTGGAGTCTGAAGCTTTTGCAAATCTCTGATCTCCACTAAACATTTTGTCTTTGTGTTATTGAAACTAGTGAAACCAAGCAGGTTGTCCCACGTGTATAAAATACAGGGCAGCTATTTAAAGTTTTCTCGATGAAGAACGATCCTTCTGGCTTGAGACGCCCTCTGGTTTGGACAAAAATCCCTCGGTGGAGACAAGGGGGAAGGATAAGCTGAAAGCTAGGATGATATAAATAAAAACAGCTCTCTATCCCAATTACGCACCTTTGTATTTTCGAGAACTCTTCTATTTATTAAGGAAAATGTCACATTGTGATGTATTAAGCCAGTACTTCAATTACGGGTTGACCTGGGATGGCATGTTACATGCTGTGGTTAACATTTATATATTTTTTTCTTGTTTTTGAGTATTTCTGTCCCCCAAATAACTTTTTATTTGGCTTTTCTAGATAGCTTTATTTGATTTCGAGTGGCAAATGTTTTTATTATGGCTTTTCTATTGCTGTATGATACAGAACCTTCTGGCATAAACATTTATGTTACAGTACCTCAGTTGTTTCGATTTTCCTGCCTGTATACGTTTTGTGAAATGGTCATGTTTTGGGGTAGCTGACACATGGACTTTAGTATGTAAATGTACTTGAATCTGTGCTTCTTTAGAGTATGTGGCATGTGTGTGCAGACCTTGAATGCTTACCCTGCTCAGCAGGCCCTGCCCTCACGTTCCCAGAGGGCGGCTTAACCATTCAGAGTCAGGAGACAAGGCGGCCATGGATTTGCCCTTGATTCTATTTTGATAAAGGCAGAGATGGAGGAGAGAGGTTTTTTTACATTCTGAAGATGGTGCTGTGTCACGACGGACCTTTTATTCTTCCCTCTCCCCTATTTTTTAAGTGCTGGGCGGGAGGAAAGGTTGACGACATGCATGGTGGGAATCTATGGCCTCTGGTGCTTTGTCCTGTATTTGGTTCAATGTTTTTGTCCTAATCTCTTCAATCAATAAAATTGTGCGTATTTAACTAAAGTGCTGGGATCTGGAGAGTGGTGATTGCCTCCACCTGTGGCTGGTTGGCATGGTGACCCCTGCCCGCCCACCAGAGGCCCCGAGGCTCTGTGGTCAGTCAGCTCCACTCTTGTACCAAAGCAGCAGCCCCCTGCCCTCATGTTTTGGATCAACGATGACCTATATAGATCACAGGCATCACCGAGCTCACGGTCACCACCACCTTCTCCGGTGGGAGTCACATTCCCATCAGCCATTGGGAAATAGCCCTCAAGGAGGGTGACTTCCAAGGGTTAGCAACCTTAGGTGACAGAGTCAGAACTGACCCCAAAGTCTGTGCGTCAGAACCCAGAGGGCTCATCCCGAGTCTAGTGAGGGCTCTGAGGTGGCCAAACCCGCCAAGGGGCTCCAGTGATCCGGGATTCCACAGGAATCCTAAGACAAGCTGCATCTCCTGCCACACTCGTTGGAATGCCCCAGGAGGCTGTCCCCAGAAAGGTCCACCCAGTGGCCCCTTGCCCCACTTCAGATCCCAGACAACAGACTAGCGGGGCACAGCAGGTTGCTCCCTCCGCCATGCTTCTCACTTCACCACAGTAGTTAAACCAAGACGGGGTCATTTCAGCCCCGAGATGTTTAGTGAGTACCTTGTCCCAGTGCAGGTTGAGGAGTCAGACTTGGAAACAGACAAGGACAGTGGGCAGAGTCGAGTGCCAGGCTGAGCTTGGGCACCCCCTGCCTCCCACCAGGAGGCCTCCTGAAGACAGTGGCATCTGGATCTGATAGCAGAGAGAAATGGCCTCCAGCACTGAAGGCAGCGAGAGGCCAGAGCTCTGTGCAGCGGGGGCCTTGTGCGTGAGGCAGCTAGAGACTCAGGGGCCAATGAGCGGGTCAGTGCCAAACTGGGGCACTGGGCCGCGCAGAGCTCGGCGCTGTCCTCGCCGAGGCAGGCCTGTGGTGATGGGGATGTGGCCGAAGTGGAGGCCGTCTAGCCAGCAGGCCAGTGTTTAAATTCACAAAGTGCCTCTCGTCAGCAGACAGTACCTCTGTCTCCCCAGCAGCACCTGACCCAGGGCCTGGCATGTGGGCCGTGTTCAGTAAACAACGTTAATTAGTGTATAATTTGATCCAGGGCCCCATTATATGGCGCTAGATTTCCTTCCAAGCCCGGGGTTCCAGAGAGGTACATCATTAAGAAACAGCCTTTGCACGACTTGAAGCCCACCGGCAGCTTCGCTAGGGCTCAGAGAGGCTGATCCAATTTCTTTGCTCTTTCACTGCCTGTGATTAAGCAAAAATGGGCCTGCTGCCTAATGAATGCCGGCTTGAATTGTGTTCTGTCAAACCTTCCACGCGGCTGGCAGGAGCCTCTGGCTCCAACACTCCCAGCCTCTGTGTGAGGACTTCCACCTTGGTGGGAAACCAGAGGCAGCAGCCTCACCCCGAGTGTCCCCGAGCTCAGCCAGCAGAAACCACACATTTTCTGTTCCCTGGGGACAGGCTTGGCACTCCTCGGCTGTCGAGTCTCTAGACTGGGCTCCCGGGCCTTGGAATGGGGCAAGGGTTGGGAGCAGGCCAGGCCCATGAGTCCTGACTGTCATATACACTGTGACACTTGGGTCTCCATGGTGGCCGAAGGTTAAGTCTCAGCACTGTCACGGCTAGAGCCTGACAGCCTGAGTTCGATCCCCAGCCAGGGGGTGACCCACAGACAGCGGCAGACCTCTCGTGTCTTCCCATTGCTCCCCTCAGCCGTGTATCTCAGTGGACCTACCTGTTCTGCTCCCCACTCCATCTCTGGTGAATCCTCTCACCCACCTCCCACACCTCTGGCCTGTACCCCAGTTTCTTCTACACAGAATTAAATAAAAATCTTGAAAACAAAACTGTGACACTCGACTTTGATAAGTACCAAGAATGTGGGACCAGCTGTGTCAGGGAACGTCACCTTAGCCGGTGAGGACTGGAAGAGCGATTTCCTATTATGAGCCAAGGTTGTAACAGGACAGAGCTCTTGGCCGAGGGATGGTGGTGGAGTGGGGAATTTATCAGGCACAGCAAGGAGGGTGAGAGGGACACACTGAGAGCCTCCCCCTGCTCCTCCCCACCACCAAAGATACTTCATTTCTACTGTTTGCTGTGCGTTGTGCTAATATAACTTTAGGGAGGAAGAGAAAATTGCAGCTGCTAGAGAACATCGAAGACTATGAAGTCCCTTGATAAGGAGTGGACTCAGCCTTGAAGATCCAGAGACGTCAAGCATATTCCCGAACAGGTCAAGGACCCTGCACTGGAGGCCAGAGAGGGGGTGGGTGGGAATCTCGAGCGAACCTCAGCAGTTTTGCTACTCACCCACCTGCTGTCTTTGACTGGTGCTCTCCACAGGGACCTACTTCCCTGACCCCGTCTGTGACTACTTAGCCAATGACCAGTTTTTAGAAGGAACCAGGTGATCTAATAACCTGCAATGATTATAAATTGTTAGTTCTAGAAATAAATCACACATCTAAGCCAAAGCCTTTTTACTTCTCATCTGTGCCTTTTAGATGCTTCCACTCACACAAAAAGCGGTTCAGGCCAAATCGCTCAATTTGGAGACCCGAGTCCCTTGCTCAGCCCCCAGAAGTTGTGATATCACTGCAGGCGCAAACCTTTGAATCACAGGTCTCTTCCCAGAGGTGACGGGAAGGAGGAAGACATCTACTTATTCCACTGGTAGACCTTCCAAGGTAGGCAGCGACTCGGTAAAAGGGTAAAGGGGCTTCCTGGGAAATGCGTCGAAGGAGCTCATTACATTGAATCTTCTCTCTGAATCCTTCTCACACTCCTCCAATGCCCTTGTGATGCCTCCAAACAAATGCTGATGTCTCCCCCTCCAGAGACCTGTGTGGCAGGAAAAACTTGGCAGCTGTGACCAGGGCTTTCTTCCTGTCTCACACCCTCCAAATGATTATGTCTCTGCAGCTTCCCCAGCAAGGGAGGAGCAGTTGAAAACAACATTGATGCTAAATGCACATTTTACTTGTCCTTGAACTTAATCACAATTAAGCCAGATTTTAACAAAAGCCTTTGTTATTCAGGAGTCTCCTTTTCTCCCTAAAGAGAAATTTATCTTCCTCCGATTATGGACTTACTTTAGTGAGGGCATCAGATGTAAAGAAAAGACAAGAGGGCTTGGGAAGAGAAGCCCTTGGCCCGCAGGCCTGTCCTGCTGCTCCTGACCATGGTCAGCGTGGAGTCCGTCCCTCATCTCGGTTTTCTCACAAGTAGAGTGGAAACAAGGGCCACTGTGACCATCACAAGTCTCTTGTATGTGGCATGCTGTGGAAACTGTAAGGTAGTCTACGAACGCTTTTACCACAACAGATGGCCTGAGAAATACTATAGCTTTTTGGCACTAAAATTAAAATTCTGAGCTGGATTCAAGGGTGAAGGCAAAGTAGGACTCAGCTGGGGCGAATCAGCCACATGGGGGATGGGCCCTCGGCTCCCCACCCCAGGGTGCAGATGCTGCTCCAGTGATGTTACTCCTGCAAGGTCCCTGATAGCACCTCAAGAAACCATCCTGGATTAGCTAAGAGAAGTAGAGAAGTAGCAGAGGTTGAGGGAAGGCCCCAAAAGAAGGAGGTCGTGTCACCACGCTGCCTCCCCAAACAGCAGTTTCTGGTCTTGAGTTCACAAGCCTGAAGCTCAGACCGTGTCTGTCAGAAGCTCCGAGATGCCCTGGCCCTTCTCCATCCACCCTACAAGTGGCTGTCAATACCTTACCTCTATCTAGGAGACCCTGTGTGGTCCTCTTTCCAGTAGGGGATGAACCATGTAGACACTTATTCTTAAGTTTGAAGATCACCTCCTTGATAACTGGGTCTTTTAAACTGTGGTGAGGGGCAGGTCCTGGATGTTCGTGGGGCTTTTCCCGCAGCCTTGATAGATGGGCATGTTAATCACGGCAGCCGATCCTCCCTCATCCTTCCTTCCTGACTGCCATAATGGTATCAATATAATGGATTGATGCAGTGTGCTGTGGGTACCAAGCTGGTTCAGCTCTACCAGAGACCCAACAGTGTTGATGCAGCTCCAGGCAAAGCAGCAAAGGAATATAGCTGTCAAGTCCATGGCAGTGCAAACTGCTTCTAGATCTTTGCCAGACTCTAGCAGTGATACCACATCTACCAGGCATGTCAAGGCTCCTGCGGCAGTGCAGGGCATGTGTTTTCCAGCATCCCTTGGCTTCTGCAGGAAGCACATTTCTGGATATGGGGGAGGGAGGGCCCATCATCCTTCGCCCTTCAGATGCCTTTGCCTTGATTCCCACCATCTGACTAAGGATGGGATGTTGTTTTCATGTACACACCTTGCTGGTAGTGGGGGGGGGGGGGTCTCTGGTTTCTAGAGCTCATTTGAACTTCTACTATGGCAAATGTTCGCCCACAGACAAAGGCCAGAGCCTCTGGGTATCAGTGTCAGTCTTGCCTGCATCCAGAAGTCTTTCAAAATTCTTCATTTCTGCATCCTCTCTTGTGGTCACCGTGTCAATGAATGGCTTTCGTTCTAGTAAACAGCTAAGGGATCATGAGCCTCTCTGCACTTGTGGTGGGTTTGTCTAAGGACCCAGCTTCTTTAATGTCAGTGGGTCGGTCTGGATCTGAACATAGAAACTTCAGTTTCCCTGTGCTGTCTGGACACAGAACAACATACATGAGGTTTTATTAGAGTCATATGGTTGAGCGCAGTCTCTGAGCATCATACTTTCTTTCTGACGCTTTCCAAACAGCATGGTAATTGCGGCCTTTTGAATTCTGACAACTTGTTATCCACACTTGACCTCACTGCTTCAGGGCACTGCCAAATCATCTCTGTGACAGCTGTGACATCCAGGAACTTCGCAGTGACATCTATCACCAGTATCTCCCCAGTGACCTCGGTGATGAGGAGGTGCCACCATGAAACATACCCCTCTGGCGGATCTGCTGGGCCTGCACTGCAGCCATGCAGCGAGCCCACTACCCTGTGGT